CTATAATTATCGAAATAATAATTTCATTGAATTTTTCTGCCTCACAATCGCCTTAAAATATTATATAAGCGGTGGATTCGTAATCAAAGTGTTAATAAAGCTTATGCTATCTCTTCACGTCCACGAACCGACCGAATTCGCTGAGGAAGAGCCGCGCCACTCTGTAGAGAGAACCGGCGGCCATAAATAGTGAATTTATCCGCATTCACGTTCTCACCTCGGCCGTGCGAGTTCCCCTATCCAGGCCCCATAATCGAGCTCGGTGTGCATCTGCGGGCTCGAGCATTCTCGCCGTTCTGTCCCGAACTTCGTTACGCGAAGTAATTTCCTTATCTCGTCGCTTGCACTTTCGACGGGCGTAACGAACGGCAAACACATCGACAAGGGGGCGTCTCTCGTTGAAATTTCGCAGCTTCGAAGAAATTGCATTTCACGGTGTCTAGTCAGCGGAGGAATCAGAAATTGCTCGATCGGTGTTTGCCCTGCTTTTCCGGCTTCGAGCCGGATGGCTCTCCCGTAGGCTGAAACTTCAGGCCTCTCTCTCTCTCTCTCTCTCTCTCTCTCTCTCTCTCTCTCTGCTCTCGGGTCAATTAACGCTCCCGGCAAATTGTCCGAAATCGAATTGTCGGCCTGGACCCTCTCGAAATGCGAGTTCGTCAGGAGAACTCGATCCTCCCGGCGATAATATTATGCCATAAGCAACGACGCTTTTTCTGGATAACTTTCGCTGCGGAATAGTGTTATGGTGGTGCCGTGTATAATACGGGAAAGTCGTTTCTTGCCGTACAGGTGTACAAACTTGTAAGTCAATGTCGAAAACTGAATTTATAAATGGTCTATCGATCACATTGTGTACAGACAGACCTTTGTAGAAATAATTGAAAAAATATTGGAAATAGTTAATGAAATATTCTTGTAAGTCAATGCCAAAAACTGAATTTATACATAATCTATCGATCACATTGTGTACAGACAGACCTTTGTAGAAATAATTGAAAAAATATTGGAAATAGTTAATGAAATATTCTTGTAAGTCAATGCCAAAAACTGAATTTATACATAATCTATCGATCACATTGTGTACAGACAGACCTTTGTAGAAATAATTGAAAAAATATTGGAAATAGTTAATGAAATATTCTTGTTTGTACGAAATAATATTTCAAGATTTATTTGACGTCATAGAGGTATTCAAAACAGTTATTTATGCTGTGGTAAAGAAAATTATTAATTGAAATAGTATTTTCTTGAAATATACTGGAAATAATTATTTGAAATTCTATTTTTCACCATTAATATTTATGAAAGAGAATAAACTTATAGAAGAGGTGAAAACGTATAAGGAGCTCCTTTCTCACATTTCTCTTAACGAATGTAATTTATTTAACATTTAACATCTATTTGTTTTTATCAATGTATATGTCTCATATGTAAAATGTAAAAGTTCGTATCAACGAATGTCGCGACATATTCGCAATTGCTTGGTCGGTGAAGTTTCATGGAAATAATATTCAAGTGTTTCATTTCACGCACAATAAAGAAATATTTATTTCAATTAATTATTTTAGGTTCATATTTTAAATAATTATTAATACAGAAATAAATTATTATTTGAAATGATGTATTTCAGTACCTGAAGTATTTCAGAATACTATTTGAAACATGTAATACAGTTGAGAGAAATAGTATTTGTAAATATTATTTTTTTTTTATTAATAGTATTCCTTAGTTGAAATATTTTTACTCAGGTGCTGTATGCAGATTTGTTTGTCTTTTTTTCCTACCGTCCTATTAAAAAATCAAAATTGCTCGAGTTAATATCGTCGTAATGTATCGTGAATTTGAAAGCCTCTTATTTTCGATGACACATATTATCAATCTACATATCTATGCAGATTGCGAAATTTTTAGCTAAAACGAATAAACGCATAACGGATCCAAACATTTGCTACAAAATAAACTACATCGACGACAAATGAGCCGTTTATTTTGAAAGTGGCATAAGTCACTTTACCGTGATGAAAAGTGGAGATTTTTTAATGTTTATACGAAATTATTTATACTGAGAAAAATATCAGTATCCTGAGATAACAAATACAAGTAAATCTTCTCGAAAGTTAGCATCCATATTTTTAAACGTGTTAAAACGCAAATCCTTAAATATATCGACTTAAAAACAAAGTAACTTATGCCACTTCCAAAATAAACGGCTCAATTGCTGATGATATTTGGGAATAGCATAATAGTAGCACTCTAGTGAAATATTTGAATTTGACATGTAGTTTAAAATACTTTTGGACTTCAACGTACGTTGCAATCTTGAGAAATCAAATAATGATGAAAAATATTATCATATAAAATGCTACAATTATTATGTTGATGAAAAATCTCGCACTGTTCTGATAAAAAAGCAGATGATATGTAAACGAGTGAAGTATCCATTTTTACAATTCACTGATAAACTGCAGATTTTATGCGTTTATAATAACAATGGATAGGTGAAATTTAAAACAATAATATCTCACTGAAATATTTTTATATTTCATTGTTAAAGAAAAATATTTCAATTTGACTCACGTCCATTGTAATTCATGAAGATAATCTTTCTTTTGCATAAAGTTCCACAGACCATTCATAGGTTTTTGGAGTTTTATTTCTTCTTCTCGAAAGTTAGCATCCATATTTTTAAACATGTTAAAACGCAAACCCTTAAATATATCGACTTAAAAACAAAGTGACTTATGCCACTTTCAAAATAAACGACTCAAATAACCGTTATCTCACACCTATTAGTACCCGCGTAATATTACTCTGTGTTAGAATTCATTGACAGTCGGTGAAATCATTTCGAAAGTAAAAATCATTGTCCCCAACACCTGTGAAATCACAACAAGAAATTTTCGCAAGTTTGTCGATCCAAAGTTCGAAGTTGCTCGAAACCCAACTGGAACGTGCAACTGAACGGCGTCCACCAAAACCGTGCGAAATTCCTTAAAACGAAAGCAAACCGAGTCGAATCTCATGTAACGCGTCGTACGCCTAAATAACAAGGAAACGGCAAGCCGATCACCCGGTATCGTATTTAATAACACGAGGAAATAATCCGCCGAAACGGGCCGAGTCGGGGACGCGTGAACGAACCGGAATGGAAAGGACGATCGGGAAAATTGTTTCCTTCTTGATCTGTGCGTTTCACGCGAAATTACGCAAGACACGGGGCTGCGAGTTAATATCGTCAGGGTAGATGGTGGACAGCTCCTTTTGGATCGCTTCCGCGATTAAGTTGTAGGACTACCGTAACGACGCTTAAATCCGGTTCGCGTACTAAAGGCCAATTAGACGCAGGCTTCTCGTTAGCGTCGCCGAGTTGCTCGAGGTGTAAGCTATTATGAAGATAAAGAGCGAGCGAGCAAGAGAGAGAGAGAGAGAGAGAGAAAGAGAGAGAGAGAGAGAGAGAGAGAGAGAAACCACAAAGTAGGAGAGAAAAAGAGAGCGGACCGTAATAAACGTGATAATGTTGAATGGTCGTATATTTATTCAAAGTTATTATATAATAAACCGCTGTGTTCAACTCGGTTACAGCCACAGTTTTGATTGTTTCCTAGCAGAAATCGTACAATCGATGGCTACATGGACGGATTTCGATGATAGTCTCAGAGCACACATTCCAACGCGCGCTTCGCAAACACCGTTGCCGTCCATTCCTTCAAATGCCATGTGACGTCCATCCGCACGTCACGGATGAGCAGTCGAGTAGAGCAAGGGTAAAGGGCAGCGTATTTGACCGTCGCGACGCGACCGATTGCAAACGTGAGAGCATCCCCGGCAACCCTGCTGCCCTTTACCCCTACACAACCCCCAACTGCTCGTCCGTGACGTCGCTGATGGAGTCACGTGACATGCGACGGAATGCACAGCGACGGTATTTACAAAACCCAATAAATAAAGTCGCGAATCAGCTTGGTTGTTCGATGTGTTTGATCGGTTGTCAGATTAATTGACATCTTGCGAGCGGAAAGGTGTTAGCTTCCTGCACAATTAACGGCGGCATCGCAGAATATCTGTAGTCGGAGTAGACCAAGGGACTTCTGTAAGTCTGCGGTGCAACCGTGTAGTATTCCCTGTTCGGCGAATCGTTCCCCGGCAGGGATGCGAGCTGAAGAGCCAACCCCGGTTGCTGGACGCCTAACTGCGTCAATTGCAAGTTATTCGTTGCCTCGTCGTTCCCGTAGTAAACCGTGACAACAGGATCCTGACAGGTGCACGGAGTGGAAGCTTCATTCTCGTAGTTGTTGTTAGATCGGAAACTCCCATGTTGGTGTAAATGTATTGTCTTGGTCTTGTGATGGTGAGAACCTACTATCTCGTCGTTTCCACTCGGTTCTGAGCTTTTGGCTTGCTGGCTTACCTGGGTGATAGAATGTTCGTTGCTTAAAATTGGTTGGCAGTGAGGATGGAGAGTCAGAGCGAGAGGAAGAAAGTATTTGAAATGGGAAGCAACGTTTTGTTAAATTGATACTATTGATAAGAAGATTGTGGCTCTTCGGGTAATGCTGTGAATTCACCCTGATTCGTGCTCAGATTGCGCACAAAAATGGACAATTTGGGAAGAGGAGATACGATTATTCGAGCCTTTCGGCTCATTTTTATAGTGGATTGTGCAGATTTTTTAATACTGAATCTACCGAACTTTAAAGGTAACTATCGTGTATTTCTTTATGACGAGGAACCATTCGCCAATTTCATTAAAGTCTCTATATCGATTAAGAAATTTCTTCAATCATTCTTCATGCAGGAGTCTTCTTAATTTCAGCAATTTTAACCCTTAACTACTATTGTCAACTATTGTCAAACGAATTGTCCAAGTTAAACCATTAATTGATTTGAGCATGAATTCATATCAAATCCATTATTGACGTCCAGAATAAGG